CTTAAGATGTGAAGATTCCTGCCAGTTGGGGTTAGTCACTAAATCTTAGCTTGAAGAATTTCCTGCCACACACAGTTGAACCTGTAAAGTTTTTTTTTAATTTTAAAGAGAAAAAAACAATAAAAACAAAAACAATAGGCAATTGGCAATGGTTAATATATTGCATATTATTATCTTCAAAGTAGTTGCTCAGATTATAAACTGTATGCATGCATAATTGATCAAACAATATGAACACAAACTGCTCTCTTCAATAAACTAAGAGAAATCAGTAGTATAATTTAGTGTAATTATCTTAGATATCTTCAACTGAGGAATAGATTACAAAGATGTAGTATCTTTGTATAATGGAGTACTATTCAGCCATAAAGAATGATGAACGCAAGGCTTTTGTAAGTAAATGAATAGATTCCATACTGATAAGTGAAATAAACCAGACCCACATATGTAAACGTTGTATTGTCTCCCTACCTGTAAAAAAACTGAAAAAGAAACACCCAAAAGATATTGTAAAGAGAAAGCCCAAAAATAAAGAACAACTGGGATAAGATGAAAGGATAAAAGGAAGAGAAAAAGGAAAACACAACAGAGAGATTTATAGGAGGACAGAATTTCACTTGGCCAAAGAGGTTTACGACAAAGGACTGAGAACTAGAAGGGAACCAGATTGAGAGCGCTCTACAAATATGGTATCTCATTTAATCCTTACAGAAATTCTACAAGAAAGCATAATGGTGTCCATTTTATGAACAATAAGACTGAGGTTCAGTAAGGTTGTATCACTCACCCACAGCCGAGAACTTCCTAGTGGCAGGGGTGGAATCAGAATCCAGCACCCGTTGGCTCTGGTTCTACAGTTCCTGTTTTCAGCATCATCAAGTACCCTCTAGAGGTGAGCCCGGTCTACAAAAGGGGTGATGACAAGGACAACTGACAGCTCCTGCTGACATTATCTGCCAGGATGGCGGGAGCTTTCTGCCAGACACCGGAGAGCTTGCTTACAAAGCAAGACTCTCAGCCTTCTCACTGCGTTAACAGCCCTGAGAAAGGCTTCACTTCCCCAGGTGTACAACTCCTGTATGCTCTGCCCCCTCCATGCTTCAAAACTGGGCTTCAGCAGCTTAGCAGAAAGGTAAATAAAATGTTCTCCACAGCCCTGGAAATCCCTGATAAGAGCTCTAAAATCTTCTCCAGTCAACAAACTTTGAATTAGAATAAAGTGGAATTATGAGGTTTGAGTTTTGATCTATCAAGTCTGGAACAAATAATATCCCCATACTCAGTCTCTTTGCATCTGAAATAAAGGAGAGAAGCAACTGTGGAGAGAATTCATAGCTGATATTGAATAACATGCTGTACAGTGCAGGGGACAGCACTAGCTCATGGCCTAATGATTACATGACTGTGGCGTAGAAGCCTCCCGTGGGGGGGCATCTCTGGGGAACCAGCTTCTTGCAGGGACCGGGTTGGGCTTTTATTTAGTCCGACTGAGTGGTAAACATGCAATCATGTGTGGTTCGCTGTGAGAATGAGTCAGAAGCATGGGGCTCCCTCCAGTGACTAAGCAGGTGAGTTCCAGAGTTGCAGAGGCTTCTAATGAGAACCATTCAGAGCCTGTCTTTAACATTCTTGGCACACCTGGAATTTAGGGCCTGATAGCTAGCTCGAGATCTCCTCCGGGAAAGAATTGTAAGTCAATAAACAGCAGAAGATGAACGTGGCAGAAAACCAAGCCAATACTTTATTCAGAAATCTGAAAGGAATCTCATAAAGATTATACTTCAGATTTTCAACCTAGAGTTTTTCTAAAATGTTACCCTAAATCCCCTGGAATAATGTGATAAGTTAGCAAAAGACATGGCTACATAGAAAGGCCAGGCCCCTGCAGAGCACCTGTGTACCGCATTTGTGTGGTATTTTTGTTAACCTCGACTAAGCGGGTAGTATTAGCTCCATGTGGAAGAAAATGAGGCGTGGATGATCAGAGTTTTAGTTAAAAATTCATCCCACTGCAAATTCCTTCCAAAATATTAAGTATTGCATGAAAAACATTGATGGGCACTTAGCATTATAATTTCCAACTACAGTACACAAAGGCTTTTTCTGGCTCTTTCCAAGGCTTTGTCTTCTGGAAGACATGGTTTAATTGACATCTTTAGCAAATAGAGGTCTACTCTATGGTAACTGATTATTATAAAAATTCTCACTCAGGTACAGGAACATAAGAGAGGATTTGGCATTTTAGGAGGATATTTTGCTCGCAACAAATATCAAAAATGGCTCCTTAATATTCCAAATTCCCCTTCAGTGTGCTTAAATCTTGCCAAACCTGCACATACCCAATAATCCTTGATGGCAGAGCATGGGGCACCCAACTCTCGGTTCCTTCCCATGGCAGGGATTCCCCAAGCTCTCCTTTACAGCCCTAGCTCCACAGGGCCCAGTGCCCTACATGCAGATCCACCATGTTTGTGTTCTCCAAAACTGCTAAGAAATAACAGAAGAATAAGAAAATGATTGACAGAGAGAGAGTATTCCTGAGCCTGGAGAGGACCTGCAAGTGGGTTGCCCATGAGCCCTCTTCTCAAAGGAAGTTTATAGAGCAAAATGATGAGGTGGATACAATGTGGGTTAAAACTATGATCAAAAAGATTATTAATATAGCCACGTAGGTAATATTGATCCAATGGGAAAGCAGATCATGTAGCAAGTATACACAGAATAAGCACCTTCTTTAGGAAATAATGGATCAGAGTGTCTTGGTCACTCATTGGGTTGACTGATATCTATCTGGACTTTATTGGACCAGGTCATATCAATTATCCCCTGGGAGAGGCATGGAGGCCTGGTCATCCTGTTTTTATCTTGAGGCCTGGCCTTCGACAGAGGTGCTTCCAGGTATAATGTTTTCTCATGTTTTGCACTAACAACAAGAACCAAGTCCTACTGACTTCCTGTAATATCTCTACCCACCTTAGCTGTCTATAATACTAGGACAGAAGGAATCCAGAAGGAAGAGGAGGAAAGAGCATTAGTGAACTAATTCCAGCACAATAAGGCTCTGCAAAATAGAAAAGTGAATGGCTTCACCTCATCCCATTGGGCCTTGGGGACACGCCAGATTAGTCCCATCTACCCACAGGATTTAACCCTAATTTACACTGGCCCTACTTCCTCATTTCTTTACCTAGATGGAGCGTGGTTTAGTTTCTGTGATACGGTTGCCATGGCAATTCCTCCACTTGGCTTCTTTTCCATAAAATGAAGAAAATCATTGGCTTGAGGGCAGGAAGAACACACACAGGGTCTCTGGGAAGGCCTCCAACTCCTGGGCAGCCTCAGGACCCCAGGGATTATGGCACAGGAGTTCTCATTCTGCAAGCTCTGAACCGGAAAGAGGGAACAACTGGTATGGGATTTTGAGCTTAGAGTTTATGAAATCAAGCTGCTTGGGAAGTTAACTGAGGTTTATAACTAGAAGTCATCTCGGGGGTTTCTCTTGATGGTAACAAGTGATGGAGGTAAAGCGCTTGAAGGAAGGCACTGAGGTACCTCAGCCCTGGAGCCCGGGTTCCTCTGGCCTCATTTGCATTGGGAGGGTGATACAGACTCTCTCGGCCCACTCCAGGCCTCACTGAACAAGGGAAGCCCTGTGGCCTCTCCAACCCTCCTCTCCCACAGGCCATTGGAGTGCTTACAATGCAGGTGTTCTTCTGACCATGATGGACAAACTTTGGGGATTTATAATCCCATAGACGTGCATTTATTTGCTTTGATTCTGTGCATAGGTGCATTTTTCTGGACTAAGTGTGTACATCCCAACACTTTATTAAGGCAAATGCCTCTGAGAATAAGTCAAATCTGACAATCTGGAGCTGGCCCTGGCTAGTGATACAGTAGTCACAGACCTCAGCTCTGTTCCTAGCCTGGTTGCCACAACCATGCTGCACATCTGAGGTCTCACACTGAAGGTGATGACAACACAGTCTGGTCTCTGGGGAGAAACAGTGTTTTCTAATTAATTCATATTAATGATTCATCTTTTCCCATAGTACAGATGAGAAAATCTCCCCCTCCCCAGTCAGCCAGAATCATGTGTGAATGTGTTATAGATGACTGAGCCGTACTCCACACACTCAGGTTTTGTTGGTCTGGGATGATTCTAAAGTGTGGCGGGCCTGGCAACCCTAATGACAAACACAGAGGACAATGTGGAAGTGAACTAATGATGGGGAACAGCTATTGTCTCCTAATTCTGATGACTAGGTATAAGTATCTGAAAGGCTCTATTATGAAGGTTTGGTTTGGTTTGGTTTCCGGAGTTGAACTCAACTTTGAACTTGCCAGGCAAGTGCTTATACTGCTAAGCTATATCATTAGCCCTGTTACTTAGGTTTTAAAGCTGGTTCCCAGCTCAACGTGGAAAATATTCTCACCAGTGTAATTTCTAGGGGAAGAGAAGTTGTCAAAGTGTGCCCACCTTTGTCTCCTTTGAAACTGTGTGTATATCTATGTACACACGATATGTCCCTTCTGGTCCCTCCACCCAGAAGCACACCTGGCCCTGGGAGCCCAGGCATGAGCATGAGGCTCCTTCTCTGTATTTGATAACAGCAGCTGGCATATAGTGTTCACTGCATGCCAGCCACAGTACTTACCATTCTAAACTCTTCTCGTTTATTAATGTAGTCTTCATGGTGCTCTCATTAAAAACTATTACCTATATCCTCATTTTGTACAAGGAGAAAGAGGCATATAGAGGTCTTATAACTTGTCCAGGCAGTAAGAGGCAGAGCTGGGATTTGAACCTACGCCATTGGCTCTCCAGTGTGCCATTGAGCTATAGAGCTGTAGAGCCACCAGGTCCAATATGCCTTCCCAGTGGTCCAATAAAGAAAGAAGATTCACACAGTGAGGAACAGGGGAGCCAGTCTCTGCCAGTATCCACTGTGTTACAGGACCAGCCACCAGAGCCTTAAACGTTCCTCTCCTTCTCACAGGCTTCATCCCCCCACCCCTCATCTTCGGGGCCGGCATCGACTCCACCTGTCTCTTCTGGAGCACTTTCTGTGGGGAGCAGGGCGCCTGCGCCCTCTACGACAACGTGGTCTACAGATACCTGTATGTCAGCATTGCCATCACGCTCAAGTCCTTCGCCTTCCTTCTCTACACCACCACGTGGCAGTGCCTGAGGAAGAACTATAAACGCTACATCAAAAACCACGAGGGCGGGCTGAGCACCAGTGAGTTCTTTGCCTCTACTTTGACCCTAGACAATCTGGGGAGGGACCCTGTGCCCGCACACCAGACACATAGGACAAAATTTATCTACAACCTGGAAGACCATGAGTGGTGTGAAAACATGGAATCCGTTTTATAGTGACGCAAGGAGGGCTGAACTCTGCATTAGTAATCCAAGGGTCATTTTCTTAAAAAAAGAAAAGGAAAAAAAAAAGGTTTCCTAAAAATACTCAACATACTGACACACATGCGCGTGCGCACGCACACACAACTTTTGTCCTTTCGCTCAAAATCCGAGCCAGACACGATTCAGAATAAGGAAAGAACAGGATCATCCCGGAGGGCGTTCGCACTGCTGGGGCTCACAGTTGGCTTTGAAGGCACCTCGTGGGATGCCGACAGCTGCAAGCAACAGGCACTGCCAAATTCAGGGCACAGTGATGGCCAGCTTGGAGGATGGACATTTCTGGATATACACACATACAAAACAGAAACACTGCAAGAAACAAAAGTCTACTAAAAACACCTAAGATCCAACTGAAAACATTGCCAGATTCAGACACATCCCATGCCACCCCCTCTACGTGTGGGCGGGGAGGCACATAAGGCAGAGGGGCAGATGCTCTACTCCTCTAAGTTGTGCAATATGGGTCACTGTGCAGACGGCTCACCCAGCCTGCATGTGGTACAAGGCCCTAGAGTTCTCTTGGCAATGCTAACGGGTGATCCTAGCTGGAGTCTGTAATTGGTATCTGTCACCAGCGCCATTTCCATGTTCAAGACTGGAGGCCCAAGGGGGAGAAGGGTGGGGGGCCAGCAACTTTCCCCTTCCCCTGGCAGCACCTGGCAGTGGCAAAGGCCACCTCCCCCCCTCCCCCCAGACCCACAGAGTGACCTCAGGAAGCTGTGGACCTCAGCTGGCTATGACTGACCTGCTCAGAGCCGGTGAGCCCTAAGTCCAAGTCATTTGCTTACATTTGCCAAACATTTTGCCATTTTTTTCAAAATACAGTGCATATGAATTTCAAACTGTTGTATGTATAATCCTCTAATTCCTATTTTTAACTACTACTAAAATCTGTGTTAACCCTTCAGTCACTAACACAGTTCTACAGACCAGATTTATTATGCTGGTTGCTTTTACTTTTCTCCTTTTTTAATGCACCAAAAATATAATGTGATCCAAGGGATGCAATTAATCTATTGTAATTTTTATCATTTATCCTCATTTGGATATTCTGCAATAACAATATACAATGTGTTAAAAGAAAAAAATGCTTCACGAAGAGAGTGTATATGCAGCCTGCCTTTAAAAGAATCACATTTGAAACAACAGGGGATAATGTGATGAATTGCAAATTTGCCTTCTGGCTTTATTCCCCATGATTCAGTGATCACTGTCATGGGAAGCCCTTTTATATTCCCGTTCCACATTCCAGAAGGCGTTCTTTTCTGCCTGTGGAGGAGATTGCTTAGATGTGGGTTTGTGTGCATGGGTGCAATGCTTCTGGGGACCAGAAAGAGAGAAAGCGCAGTTCCCCAGCACAAGCTTTGAGCAGGCTGTGTTAATGAATAGACTCACAAGCTCCAAGGAGCAATCACATTCCAGTGCTTGAAAATGTCAATAATGGTTCCAGGGTCAACCTTGAACGAAGAGGGCTTTGTGTGTGTTTTGAAAGTGGCTGAACCTCAGAATAATCCTGTAATTATTTGAGACAAAAATCCTGTCTGAAACCAGCACACTAAACCTCTCTGGCCATTTCCTTAAGGGGACAGAGAATAAGTCAGTACACAAACACAGGCACATGTGCAAAGGGCGCCGTTGAGTTGTACTTTGTCCTCTCCTGTTGACTCCACGAGCCGCCTGCTTGTGGGAATGACCACAAAGCTTGGCTGGTTTGCTTTTCACTGCAGTTTATTCCGAGGGTCACGTAAGAATCAAGGAAGAACACAGAGGAAACAGTGGTGGTGTGCCAAATTGCTAACAAACACTGTGAATGGGAAGGTCTGAGGGACAGCATGTAACTATAGGAGACACCACGCAAGGATGGCTGGGGGCGAGGAGCAGGGCAGGGCCACTGTGGGCAGGGAGGACACTGCTCCACAGACCTGTCATCCACCAGTGCAAGTTGCCCTGTTTGTGACCATGGCACACTCATTAGTACCTTAACTAGTAAAAGGGGGTGGGGGGCGGAATTCTCCAATGTGTTCATAAAATATGGATACCTTGTCACTCCAAAGACTTTGATCATATTCTACACAGATTTTGCTTTGGTTTTATTTCGAAAATGCACTGCCAGTACATTACTACCCTCTCCTGTACCACTGTGTACACCTCCAAACTCGGTACACAGATGCAGAGGCCCTAGGACTAGTGTTTGTTTTGTGACACTATTTGCTTTTATTAAAGAAAAAAAGATTTTTTATCACTTTGCATCTTGGATTTTTTTTCCCTAAAATTTTAAGATGAGTAAGAAAAGATGTTAGGATAACAAAGGGAAACACCCCTATAGGTTCCATTTTATCAACAATTCAATACAAAGTTAAAGTCCTTTATGGCAAAATGGTTTTCATGTGTATTGTCACCTTTTGAAATTTTAGTTTCTGTCATCTATTACAGATCAGGAAACTCAGTGTAGTTTTTATTTACCTTGTGCTGTAAAGAACCACAGTACCTCTGTGATACCAGCCATTCCCTTGCTCATCCATTTGGTTTCAGTGGTAATTCGAGTGAAATATGTCCTTGTAAGATCTCCCTAAGATTTAACAGAAAGAAGAAAGGTAAGGGACAGAACAAACCACTCACTGGTGAATGCTGGAGTTCTCTCTCTCTCTCTTCCTCCAATTCGTCTACCATTTTGGTTGGACCAGCCCCAGGACACACAAAAGGCTCTCTCTGTTATAACACCTAGACAGGGACCAAGAGAGTTTGCCTTCCATATATGAGGTAAACACATTTTGTAACAACATCTGTCCAGGGGATGGGTTTTTCTGTCTCCTTCAAACAAGGTTAAACACTGCAGGAAGACCTGTAGCTTTCTCCTCTCTTTCTGCCTTTACTGAGGAAGGCTATGACCACCACCACAGCATGCTGGCTTCCCCTTGCCTGCTTATGAAGGAGCAGGAGAATCCTCTTCTCAGAGCCCTTCTAAGGAGTTTTCTGGTAATACTCAATGGGCAAAATAACAAGAGGAAGCCGAGAGTCTCTGAGGAATTGTTTGACAGTGTTGCTAATGTCTTCCACATAGGAAGCAATGCTTCTTCCACAGTTACTTGTCTTCCTCCACCTTCCTCTAGGGATGACTTTTAAAATTTGATTAGGTGGCATCTACCCGTCCACACTCTGGTTAGACCTCCTTGTGTCCAATAATGGGCAAAGGCTTCTCCTCACACACTACAAGTTTTGCTGGCTTTTCATTTGGAAAAGTGACCCACACAACCATCCCACACAAAGGCACCAGCCCAGAGCACACTGCTCTTGAGGAATTTTCTCAGTAAAAGATCTTTCTTTGTAAAAAGATTCCCCGTTTCTTCCAGGGGAGACCCTTCATTGAGGGATACATAAAGTGGAAGTGTCTGTGTAGAGTGACAGAGAAACCTCTGAGGAATAGTTGCTGGCTGCCTGGTGTTTGTCCCGCTGCTGGCTGTTTTGCTGCCTGATGCTTTAGGTCCCTCAAACGATGGTTTCCTCCCATCCAGCCAGGCCTGTGATTGCTTCTCAGCACCATGTGGGAATCCTAGAACCACCACTGCATAGTGTTAAAGCAAAAAGGTCACTGCGTGGAAACCAACACAACAGTGTTAAGCCATAAAGGTCAATGTGTAGAACACAACACGTACTGTCTAGACCAGAGGGACAAGGACAGGAAAAGCTGGTGTTTCTATTTGCTGTGTTCTATTGTTGGAGGTTTCAGATGAAGAGAAACCCGGGCAAGTAGTTTTCCAGTCCAGCAGATGAATACCAGCCTTTTGCTGTTCTTAGGTGATTTTGTTGCTGGTTTTGGTGAACCAGTTACCTGGCCAGAAGCCAGGGCTAAGTTGCAAAGAATGATCCCATGATTGTGCCTCAGCGATCCTGCCACTGTCCTCTCTTGGGGTCCCTTCTACCATGATGTTTCCCTTTCTTTACCCATTAGGTTAGAATCCAAGTCAGATACCCAAAAGACACCAACTTTTCCAAGACAAGTTGTTAATGAAGCTAAATTGGGCTTAGGAAATTAACACAGAATCCAGATATAGCCTTTCTCCCACTTTTCTACCATTCACTATTCATAACACCCCATCTAGCCTAACTCAATCTCAACTCCACCTCCAGAGCAGCTCCTCCTTAAATAACAGCCAGGTCCCTAGGATGGTGGTTACTCAAGAGCAGACTTTGGAAGAACCTCCCTGGCAGCCTATGTGGGGACAGGGAAGATTTTGTTTAGATGCCTCTTCTGGGGATTGTGGCCAACAACACAGAAGGAACTGAGCCTGACTCCACACAGCTGACCCACCTCCCCTCCTCATGGTCTGTAAGAAATCTCAGCATCTCAGGGTGCTCCTCAGCATGGCAGGGACAACATGGGCCAAAAAACCTACAGTTGGAAATTAGGAAAAACAAAGATGGTGTTATACCTCAGGAATGTGTAACTGCTTCAGAGTCAGGGACAAGAAAGAACTCGTCCCTCTCAGAGACCATCACATGGTAACATGATTATTCTTTTGGCAAGGTTCATTTCACTTGAAGGTGCACATTGTATACGCTTGATGCATTCTTACCATGCTTTATTCATTCATTCCTTTACTTAAAATATGGAAGCTTTGGCAAAAATGGAAAAGTGTGTCCTGCCCTCCAAGAGCTCCGAGTGCAATGAGCTGGACACAAGGCAGTGAGAATGTCCTCATATTGTCTGGTATGAGGAATTACTCACTCTGGGGGCAAGAATTGGGAGGACTGCAGGGTGAAGGTAGTCTAGAAAGAAAAGTACAGTGGCTCTCTGCTTTAGGGAGGAGAAAGAGGAGGTGCAGAGGAAGGAGAAAAAGGAGGTGTCTCCCTAGAGAGACACTCCATTTCTGAAAGCTACCAGGAAAGTATAGCTCAAGATCAGCTCTAGGCAATGGGTAAACAAATGAGTGGGCTCTGTCCCAACAAAGCTTATTCATAAAGAAGCAGCTAACAGGAGGACAATGATATACAGTTTTCCATTCTAGGCTGAGGCCTGCAGCAGCACAGCATGTTGCTGGGTTGGGGTGGGGGGTTCTAGGAGTTCAATAAAGGCAGGGAAGAGCCCAGTACCCAAAACTCTGCCATGGCATTGACTGAGTCATGTACCACAAGGGTCTTGGAGAAGGTGTCCACCAAGCCTTAACATTTTTGGCAATGAAAATCTAATTCAGATATCTCTTTGATTTTGAAAAAGCAGGTAAGTACCTCATTGTTGTCTGAGTTTATAACTGAAGAGAAACCTTTCTGGTGTGCTGTGGAAACTTGAACTCTGCAACCTACCGTGCCTTTCAACTCCAGCACTCCATAGCTCAACTGGAGAAATCACTCTTTTTTTCTTAAGTGATGGAAACAGATAATTGAAGGACATATGTAGAAAATGAGTGAATCCAAACACTGGAATAGAATTTCCAACCTGTTCCTTCTTCCCCACCAACGCAAAACAGTGGCATGCTAAAGCTAACAGTCTACCACATAGAATAATCCATGAGCTCTATTAATAGTTCGTCATAATGGCTGCTTAATATTTATCATGTACTTACTCTGCGCTAGCTGCTGGGCTGAGCTTGTTACATGTATTAGTTCACTTAATCCCAACAATAACCCTTTGAAGTAGGAACTGTTGCTATCGTCGTATTACAAGGGAAGGAATAAAAATTTGGAAAGCTTTCAGAACTGGATCAAGGTCACAGCAGAGCTGGGCTCATAACCCTGGTACATAACTACAAAGCTCATGTCCTTAACCAATTTGGTGTTGTCTCCCTACCAGGCAAGATATAAGGGACCCTTCCCCACCCATAGGGAGGGACTTCTCACTGGGAAGCCCCTAACCCAAATGAACTAGAGGCCCCACACATTCATGTGCCTCCTGATGTAACAGGCAGAACACCGTGGCAGTTATATTCTGGGGCTATCAGCTCTTCTTGTGTTATTTCTGATCTCAGTGGTCCAGGTAGATGAGGTATCCCACCAGAAATAGGACATATGATGAAACAGGAGATTTGCCATACTAACACATTCTTATATGCACTTTCAAAGCTCACGGTGCCCTGGCAGCCTGTCTCAGTGAGGTCATCAGCACCAGGGGGAAGACCCCACTCATATCCCTCCTGCTTGATACTACTACATCCCCAGCACCCACCTCCAAGACCAACCCTGACCCAAGGGCTTCAAACACATGGAAATTGCTCGCCGTTTGCATATATGTTACTCTATGCCTAGATTCCAGGTTTTTAGGGACAGAAGATATCGACATTCTTATTTTTATAATAACGACTCAAGTCAACAATCAGGAATTGCTGATAATCATAAATTTACACTATTTCCCCCCCTAAGGTTCAAGTGATTATGTTTTTTCACAATGAACAAATGGAACACAGCAAATTTTGGGTACAGCATTCTGTAGGGTGAGACTTTTGCCATTTTTATTAATGATTTTTAAAAAATTCATGCTAAACATAGAAGACAGCAATCATGGAGACACGTTTACCAAGACCATCTTATAGTCTAAGGCCATAAAATGAACCAGAACCATGAAGTGTTGAAAGTTTCATTGAAAGAGGAAGCCAGCTAAAACCTAAATTGTGCTTTACTCCAGTACCTTAAAGGTGGGAAGGGTCTGGGAGCTCATGCTTATTAAGAGCCATTCATATGCCAGGTGGCAGGAATGTTTTGTTCCCAGCAGCCTTTCACACCTGCCCTTGCAAGGTAAGTGTCATTTTTTTTTCCCACTTTACAGATCAGAAAACTAATCCTCAGCAAGTCTGAGCTTTGTAGATCACATAGCTAGTTAGAAAGATCACCACCAGGAGCCATTTCTAAGTCTGTATAATTCCTGAACCAGAACTCTTTCCAGTATGCCACACATGACCAACGTGGAAATTCAGATGTGGCTTCTTATGAAGCCAGCCATTGAAATCCCCCTGTAGGAACCTATAGTTTTCTAGAAAAACAAGCCAAGAGCTGGAGGTGAGAACTTCTGTAAAATTTTGCCTACAAAAATAAGAATCTAAAATGAGAAAAACTGTTCACTTTCATAATTAAACAGTGCAGAGCTTTAAAAACACTGCTTCCTTTGACCTTAGCCATGTCAGCAGAAGTTTCAGAGCCAAACGTCACCCTCTGTCGTACTCATCTAAGCAGGAACCAACCCCAACTCTCTCATTTGTCCCACTGTCCACAACTCCCTGCCAAAGGCTTCTAGGAGAACCCAAAAGGCTGTAA